ACTTGAATTAAGTGATAAATACGTGCTATATTTATGCTAAGTGTGAGGTGATGTTAGTGATGTGATATAGTTGAGATCATCGGATTGCTATTCTATGGATGTTAAAAGGTATCGTATTAATTCATTTTTTTTTGTCACAATAAATTAATTTATCTTTTCTTTCCAGCTGAGCTTCGAAGTAAAATCCAAGGGAAACAACATCCATTCGGTGAGTCGTTTTCAATTTTATTAATTTACCAAAACATCGGGATAATTCGCGATTTGAACGGTGTAATGTTGCCAGATGAAAACCGTTTGAACGCTACTCATTGGATTTGTACTTGAAGAACGGTACCATTCATCATTTTTTTCATTTTGCGCTTGAAAAATTATAAAGCTTTAATTATTAATATTGTCAAAACATGAAATAATTTGAAATTGAGTCTAAACCACCCCAAATAATACTAGTATAATCTACTTCAAGCTTTTTAAGGGGGGAGTCTCTTTTTTTATATCAAATAAAACGATTTCTTTGGGAATTTTTGACTGCCAAATTATGTGGTATTTCAAATTTAATCTTTGCATATGTTTTCATGATATTAAATCTTCATTAAATTTGCTTTAAAATGTTCTTTATTTCATGATGATATCTCAATTCGTTTTTGAGAAACGGTTTTTTTAAATTTATATTTCATGACACAAAAAATAAGGGATGATGCATAATCCAACGTCTTGGCTGCTTCGGTTTAATTATTTGTTGGACACCTGATTCTTTTGCAGGAAGTCTTAAACAATGAAATTCGATTAGTGCGTTTTATTTTAGTAAAATAAAGTACATTTTATTTGAAACGTTTCGAGAAAACGAGTAATTTTTTTATTGAAAGGTTGAGTTTTAAAACCAAAAAACGATTTAAAACCGCTTCGCCCCGTCGTCTTTACATTTTTTGTTTATTCACCTCCAGTATTCCTTCTTCACACAATAAATTAAGGAGGGGATGTTTGGAAGTTGATTCGCTAATAACACATTTTAGTTGATGTGCGGGCATTTAAAAGTGATAAAGTAGTTTTGAAAAATAAAAATTAATACTTGAATTAAGTGATAAATACGTGCTATATTTCTGATAAGTGTGAGGTGATGTTAGTGATGTGATATAGTTGAGATCATCGGATTGCTATTCCATGGATGTTAAAAGGTATCGTATTAATTCATTTTTTTTTGTCACAATAAATTAATTTATCTTTTCTTTCCAGCTGAGTTTCGAAGTAAAATCCAAGGGAAACAACATCCATTCGGTGAGTCGTTTTCAATTTTATTAATTTACCAAAACATATCGGGATAATTCGCGATTTGAACGGTGTAATGTTGNGGGGTCTAATAAAAAGCGTTTTCGCTGCCTCTTTGGCCAGCTTGTCCATCTTTTTTTCAATGTCTTTGTGACTTGAAACTCATCATAGAGTGACATCATTGCCTCTAGCGAGTTCGCTCAGCTTACTGGTACACTCTCTGATCACCTTTCTATCCTTATTCTAGGTTCAAAACGGTGCAGAAGTTTATAGCAAGAACTTCTGCTTGAAAAATGATTATGTCCAAGGTGACTACCGCCCTTTCTATAAGTATAAACCCACATACACTGAACGCAACGTCTGTATCTATCCTACATTGTGTGTTTTTAAAATGTTTTAATCCGTTATATCAAGATTTTATTGAATTTTAATTAAAGAGAAATCCTTTATTAATTTTTTTAATTATTAACTTTGTTTATTTAGGTTGAGTCTGAATCTAAAGCAACAGAAAACGGAGCAAAAGAAGATAGTACAGATGCAACTTCGTCAGAACAAAAGAGTGATGATGAAATAAATAAAGATGAGGAAAATTCTAAAGAGGCTGCCCCATCAACGGAAGAGGCAACAACAGATGCTGATGAGGAAAAGCCTTCCTCAGAGTAAAAATGTTGTGTGATGATGGACGTAATATCTTTTTACTGTAGGTTAGCTTATATAAGTAATGTTTCCGTGGTGTAATTTTACCAATTTTGACAACAATTTAAAATTAAAAATACTATGTATCACAAATATACAAAAAAAAAAAGAATTTTTTTGTCTTAAGTTGAATAAATTTTTCTGTTGGTATCAATTTTTAAGTTAAACTCTTAATAGAATAGATTTATGAAATGTATATCTCGTCCAAATGGTAAAAGTACATTATCAAAATACACAGTCATTTCATGTACACTGAATGAAAGGAAATGATTTTTTTTAAATAATTTTATTATTTACTACTAATTGAAATGATTTAGATTTAGACTAGATAGAGAGCAAATTGGTGGTGAATTAATATTTTTATTAAACAACATTGATTGAGTAACCTACAGTTTTTGTCTTCAACTTTCGTTAAACTATTATGATTAATGACAAAAATAATTAAAGTAAAGATGTTTATGTTTCCGATTTGTTACTAATGTTATCAAAAAAAAAATAAGTGAATCAGTGCATATTTTGATATAATGTGCCTGAAATTATCCTTTTACAACTGAAAAAACGAAAAAATATTTAAGAAAAATAATATATAAGGCTATTCTTCGCCAAAAAATTACAACATTTTGAAACGAAAAGTTATTAACAAACACTTAAGTAACAAAAGCAAGAAAAATAAATGTTTTAGTTTATATCATTTAAAAATGGAATAAATTTTTTGTTCGTATTATCATCTTTTATTGGTGTAAAAATTAGATTAACCCTTTTTACGCTGTAATAATGCAGCCAGTCCCCTTTGAGGTGCTTAGCAGCTATGTGGCTGAGATTAGCTGCATTTAGGCATCTGTAGCTTTGAAAGGGTTAATCGAAAAAGAGAATTAATAAACGCGGAGAGTAGACTATTGTTTGTATTTTTATAGAAGTCAGTGTAATATATTTCGTTTGTTCTTTGTCTTAGAATATTTAGTTAATAAAAAACTTACGTGAAAAGTAGCATTTTATGATTTAACAAACGTATGTAAGGTAAATATTGTACGATTTAAAAATTTCATTATAGATACAATTTTATTGAATAAAAATAAACTACAAAAAATATGTATTGTTCTATCTTAATTATTAATATCTTATTATTAAGTTAATCTAAATCTTTAAACATAAAAGGATATACTTATAAATGCGTAACCTTGTATATTTGGTTAAAAAAAAAATACAAAAACTAAATTTTTCTTTAACTCTATCATTATTTGATCAAAAAAGTGATATTTTTAAACTAACGGATAACTTGCAGCTGTAGCAATTCCGCAGTTATTTCCCTTATTTCTTGCCATTAAAATGTATCCTTTATCACCCCAAGTTTCCCCCCATGAATTTTTAACGATCCAATAATCCAATTTAGTTTTTTGATCCCGATCATATCCAACAGCTAAGACACCGTGATCCAAATACTTAGCACTACAAGTTGGTTCATAATAAACGCCGTGTTTATAAAATTGAAAACCTGGGTGACTCGCATCGATCGCAACGGAAATTGGTCCAAGAGTTGCTACAGCAGCTTGTAAAGCGGTTTCATTTCCTGATCTAATATCAACGAATCCTTTATCACTCGCTCCTGAATGACTTGGATTGTATCTGCACGATTCTTCTTCGCCATCGTACGGATATGAATCTTCAGTGTCAATTCCGTGGTTGTATTTAATATATTTAAAAGCGTTGTCCATTAAGCCACCATCACAACCATGGTTGCCGAATTTTTCTGAACAATCTACCAAGTTTTGTTCGCTTAATGAAATTAATTTATGGGTTTTACGAAAATTTTGGCCTTCTAATGATCCAGTCTAAAAAAAAAAGTTTGATTTTACTTATTATATATTTACTTATTTAGCCGTCTTTAGAGACGTGCGGCTAAACCCAAATGATTCTAGTTCTAAGTATAGTGTTAGTTCTAGTTTTAATTCAATAAAAATATGCAACATAGTGACATTTTATGCTAAATAGCGCTAGATTGTTGTATATTTTTATTAAACCATAACGGACACTGAACATGGAAAGTGATTTTAAAGCCAATGATACTAGGAGTACGTATAAGTTTGTTAAACGATTGAGACAACGATATAAATCCCACACAGCTTTATGCAGAAATTGCAGAGATGAAACAGGGAAGATAGTGAGCGACGAGTGTTAGGTAAAAAACACCTGGAAAAATTATTTCCGGATCCTACTAAATATGGGATCCCAAACGGAGGTGGACAATGGTACAACAAATCAAAAAGAGGAGAAGGCCACGGAGCCCATATTCATCGATGAGGTTCAAGACGTAATTGCGGCGCTTTAAAATAGAAAGGCGCCAGGGATCGATGGCATACTAGCAGAAGTGCTGAAGGCTGGAAGTGAGCAGTTGGCAAGGAGAATTTATACACTGCTGCAAAGGGTTTGGGAACAAGAAAGCTTGCCTGAGGAATGGAGAAAGACAGTAATATACCCCATATATAAGAAAGGAGACAAGCTTGCATGTCGAAACTATCGTGGCGTTTAAACATATCCTGAACCAAAAACTGCAACCTTTTGCCGAAATGTCATAGGCGAGTACCAAGCAGGATTTAGAAAGGGAAGATCCACCATAGACCAAATATTTACCGTAATACTAAATAAAGCCTGGGAATATGACATCGATGTGTATAATATATTTGTGGACTTTAGGCAAGCTTACGACTCCATTAATAGACAACAGCTGTTCAAGATCATGGAACACTTTGAAATCCCAGCAAAGTTGATACTACTTTTTTGAAGCAGAGAGATTGGTTGGCCCCCACCCTTTTTAATCTGGTGGTGGAATATGGTGGCTTGCTAATCAACAAATCAGTTTAATTGGCGGAGTATGCGGACGACATAAACATAATGAGCTGAAGACTACGCGCTGCATAGGGGGCTTATAGCATGCTGAAGGATGGTGCTGAAGCGGTGGGGCTTAGGATTAACACGGAGAAGATAAAGTTACTGCTATAGACGAGGAGAAACATCAGCATCGAGACATCGAAAAATGACAATATAGAAAGGGTGCCTCACTTTATAAACCTTGGTGTAGAATTATCTAGGCTGGATACAGAGGAAGAAGATCAGCCCTGGCCAATAGAACGTATTCTGCATTGACCCCTATATTCAGATCTAGGTATATACAAAATAATCATTAGATCGATTGTAAGCTATGGGAGTGAGGAATGGACGCTGATGCAAAAGTCGACGGAAAGTGCGAATGTCTTCGAGAGAAGGAGAATCTTGAGGAAAATATTTGGGCCAGTTCGGGAGGAGGATGGATGGAGATCAAGATACAACCGCGAGTTGCATGAAATTTATAAAGACCCGCCACTGGCACAGTTCGTCAGACTCCAACACCTAAGATGGCGTGATCAGAATAGGAGAAATGAGTGCCTGGACGACTGATCGGTAGAAGAATACGGGGAATGAGACCGCGATTAAGATGGGAGGAAGCAGTCGACCGGAACGCTAGGGAGATGGTCGGGAGTAGCAGTTGGAGGAGAGGCTGAGGGAGGCCACGGCTCGATACGGACTGTAGAGCCAAAGATGAATGAATAATATTAACATATATTTAATTATATTCATGTTGAAACATATTTTTGTATATTCCATCATAAATAAAATTCACTGTATACATACCGCACTAAAAGCCCAACATGAGCCACAATCCCCTTGATCTTTAACTTCAGTAACAGCTCCTTTTTTTCTCCAATCCACCCATAATGGTAAATCAACATTTTCCGGGGGTAAAAATGTGATTTCATCGTTTGAGTCAACTTCGTTTTCATCCCTCATTAGATATCCATTCATTTGCTGCACAAATTCACCGTTTAATAAATCAGCAAATTGATTTAAACCCACGTTATAAGTTAATAGCCCTTTTTCGTAGTTTTCTTGATGAACCGTGATGAAATGTAGATTTTCGGTAAATATTTTGAATCGAAATTGAAATTCATATTCAGAATTGTAAGATTTGTTGAATGTGGTCTACAAATAAATTAATTTAAAAATTTCTTAATAAAATTGATTTGATTTTTTTTTTTTACTTTCCAAGTATTGAATTGTTGTGTAACGATTTCTTCAAAACCACGATGTTTTAGTTGGAAATGAGCACAATTTATGTAATTAAATAAGATAAGAGGTAAAATAAAAAGGTAAGCGGGCGACTAAAAAATTTTTTTGATATTAATTTAGGGAGAAATCAAACAAAGATTCTTACCATTGTCGTGAATCACAAACTGCAACGAATATTACTAAATGATTTCTTTCCGCTCGTATTTATGCCGAGCTATTTATACCATCTGAAACGTTTCGGGACTTTCCCCTTTTAAGAACACAACTTTTATTTGTTATTTTCCATAATCTCTTTGTGAAAATGAATCATATCAACGTTTACTTAAATGATTTACAAAATTGAACCAAATAAAACTCTTTTTTATTTTATTAATATTTATTAAACAATATCTTTCTTAAATTAAACAACACCATGAGCTCTTTTAATCCCTTTTTCTAACTCAATACGTTCGCGTAATAATTCTTTGTAAGCTTGAACAGCTAATTCTAAAGGAGCCTTTTTCTCTGAGTACTTAGCAATATACTCTTCAACACTTACTAAATCATCAGTTTCTTTAAAATCTAACCTAACATTATGTATTTTACAATATAAGTTTAATAAAACGTTCGCCTCTATTACATTTTCAGTTTGAATCAGTTCTAATAATAAATTATCAATGATTTTGTGCCAAACTAAAAAGAAACACATTGAACCAAAATGCCTTGTTGATCGTAAACAATCAAAATGATGATTATCATTGATATATTGATAAGTTATGCTTGTAAATTTTTGATATTCAACGGAATCTGGTTCAAATTGAACACAAGTTTTGTCCAAAATGAATTTATATTCTTTGCGTTTTAATAAATCTTCAAAATAAATATCTTGAAACATTTGGGGAATTCTGTATTTTTTCCCTTGTAATGGGAAGTAAATTTGATTCATTCGTTCTCTGGTATCCCAATCAGCATGTCTTAAAGTACCACAGGGTTCTCTTATAACAATAAGCCTTTCAGAATTATTCAAACCAAAAGTGATATCGGTAAAAACCATTTTTGATTCTTCTAAACCCTTCAATGCTGGATCACAGGATATTATTACATCTATAGGTTTCCTTATTTTAATTACAGGTGGTATTTGAATTATATTCTCCACTTGATTCTCAGCATCTCTCATTGCTTCTTGAAGTTGATCTTCTGTTAAAAATTTTTGAGTGGGTATCGACAATAGTCTTTGTCCCATTTTGCGCCTGCGAAATACTACATCCAAATTAATTCTAGTCAAGGTTTTTAACAAAGATTGGGTCTCTTTGTTGAAGAATAACGGAGATGGATCTTTTTCATCTAATTAAAAAAAAATCATGAATTTATGAAAATTAAGAAATATAATATCTTACTATATTCTTTAGAAGCATAATTTAAGTTTCTTAAGCTTATTAAACTGATTAAAGGAGATTTTTTAAGGTCATTTCTGTTAAATAAATGATTTCTTAAACATCTTATTGTGGCCATGATTAAAGATAACCTCACTTTTTTTGATTCTTCTAGTCTCCCTAAAATCCTAAAAGTTTATTATTAAAGTGATATTTAATTAAAATCAATTTGTTACAACAATAATTTAATATATTTTATTAAAAATATAAATTAAATCATTTATAGATTTAATTTTTTTATTTAATTTTGGGGAATATAAATATTTATAGTTGTCGATACTGCTTTAGTGTCAAAAATGTCATAAAGTTCTGGCATGCACTTGTTAGGTTAGATTTGATTTTATTCAAATTTGTTCGTTATTTAGAACAAAACGTTTCAAAATGAATGGTTTTAACGACAATAAATTACCCGATTTTGGGGATGACGTAGAAGTTATTTATATGCAAGATGAATTAGAAGACCTAGTCGACGAAGAGGAAACTGAATCATTTCCAGGAGCTGATGAAATTGAGACATCAGACTTAGATAGCGATATTATTTTTGATGCCGAAGTAGTCGATTTATCAAAATTATCCTTTTGCGGGCATTCTAGTTCAGTGTTTTGTGGCGATTTGAGCCCTGATGGAGAAATTGTCGCGACGGGAGGTGGAGATGATATTGCTTATATTTGGCGATCGAGTAATGGAGAAGTTTTACTGGAATGTACGGGTCATAAAGACTCCGTAACTGAGGTTGCTTTTAACTACAATGGTCAATATGTTGCTACGGGTGATATGGGGGGGTTGATTCAAGTTTGGAATGTTTCTGAGAAGTTGTTGGTTTGGTGTTTTGAAGGGGATGATTTGGAATGGTTAACTTGGCATCATGCTGCTAATGTTTTAATCGCTGGATCTCAATCGGGTGATGTTTTTGTTTGGCAAATCCCACAAGGGAATTCCAAAGTTTTGGGTTCACATGGAAGTACTTCTACATGTGGAAAGTTATTGCAGGATGGTAAAAGAATTGTCGTTGGTTATGGTGATGGAAATCTTAAATTGTGGGATATAAAAGAAGCTTCTGTTATTTGGCAAATACCTGATTTGGTCGATATTACTTCTATTGAAACTAATTCTGATGGATCTTTATTAGCTATAGCACCTGTATCTAAAGTTATTAAAGTTTCTGATGGTAAAGTTATAGGTGATTATTGTACTACAGAAAAACCGGACATAGAGGCAATACTTTTTGAGGATGAGTTGGGGATTTTAGTCACCGGTTGTTTATCTGGACAAATTTCTGTTTGGGATGTAGGAAAGAAAACACTTCGCCATAAAACTGAAATTGGATTTACTATAACGTGTTTCGCATGGGGAACAAAGGGTATATTAGTTGTTGGCACCACCAATGGATCTATTTATATATACGACGTGCGATCGGGGACTATTTTACGCACTATAACAGGACATAAAGATGATATTTTAAGTATGAAAGTAGCTAAAGATAAAAGTTTTGTACTCACCACTTCTGATGATTGCTCAGCGAAAGTATTTAATATTAACTCTAATTAAAATAAGAAAAGAACTGTTTGTATTTTGATCTATTTGTTAATAAAGATATACTTTTTGTTATTAAAGTTATTTTTTTGTAAGTTTGTCCCTGTATTAATCGAGGTTTTACTATAATTACACTGCGCAGTTGAGTGTTTCAAATATGCCTTCCATTTTTCTACAATGCGTTACGTTTTTTTTTATTCAAGTGACTCGCTGCTGACTTAGGATTTTATAGGGCAAACAACATATTTGCTTATTGTAATAATATAGCCGAACATATGGCTGCTATGGCCATACAATATATTGCACAACAGTGGAGTTTGTTTATTAACTCTTCTAAAACAACATTAAAAGCAGTCCCGTTGCGAAATAATTACTTGAAACGTCAAAATTTCAAAAAACGTCAATTTAATTAAATTTTTTAGGACTTTGTAAAGGTTTGACATTAAAAAAACGTAAACAAATTCCTTTTTTCCTATGATTTAAGCATAAATTAGTTAATTTTCGTAAAAAAAACATGACGTTTCATAAAATTGACATTTAATTTTGACAAATTGTTGTGAAGTTGGTTACAGTTGGTAACATTGAATTTGTGTCACATTGACATTTAAACTTTATTTAAAAGAATCAATTTATGGAATCAATTTCAACAGTAGTCGTGAATTAAGTATAGTATTGTACTCAAATATAATGAGCTATATACAGGATGATTTATAACATACGGAGCAGACTAAAAGGGTACGTACTAGAGGTATAACTGAATAATGTTTTGTTAAAAACTTTATAATAGAGATATCGCATGTTAATTTTTTAAATAATTTAATGTCCATTTTTGAGAACTGCTGATATTCAGTAAAGAACAATGATGGAGCTGTAAAACTAGACAATTTATTGTTTCAGCAGTTTTGTTATTTTAGATAATACGTAATTTGTTAAAAAAAATAATAGATGTTAATTTATAAAATGTCTAATAATAATGTTTTAAATGCAAAATTACAAAATCTCTAAAACAATTATTTAGCTACTCTAAAATTGCAGCCGTAAAGCATAATCAGCGGGAGTCAGTCCTTGCACTTTTTGTAAATCGTAGGGGTATAAACCATTACTTTTCAATGTACGCCAAACAAAGTTCTGGGAAACTTCGAATTGGAGAGAAATTTGACGAGTACTAGTACTTGCATCTGCATCAACAATTTCTAGAATTTCTTCTTCTACATTCACTCCATATCTGTTTGGTCTACCACCACCAAGACCTCTTCCCCGCTGGACTAACAGAGGAAAAGTGTTTTCTGAAGGCATCTGTCGATTTGGAAATCGTTTCAAATACAGATCTCTTGCATGTGCAGCGTTTTCTCCAGCAAGTCCACAAACAATAAGCACATATACGTATTTCTCGTTACTGTAAAGTGCCATTGTACTTTTTGATTTGTAACAGTTCTAATTTTGACGTTAAATGACATGTCCGCTGCAAAGCAACCAAGCCATCTGGATTGGCAGCAATAAAAACATGGTATCAGCGGTTCTCAACAAAAAAACACCAGTTTTTGAGCGTTTTAACAAATCTTTAAATAGCTGTAACTGCTATATTATAAAGATTTTATTATTTTTGTTAATTATGTATTGTTTCAGTAACCCCCTTCAGTAGTAATATTCTCAGTTTGCATTTAAACGTAATATTTTATTATTTTACGTATATTTTATTTTATACATATTTTATTACTTACAATTAGTGCGTTTTATTTTAGTAAAATGACGTAAGTTTTATTTGAAATGTTTCGAGAAAACGAGTAATTTTTTATTGAAAGGTTGAGTTTTAAACCCAAAAAACGATTTAAAACCGCTTCGCCCCGTCGTCTTTACATTTTTTGTTTATTCACCTCCAGTTTTTCTTCTTCATACAATAAATTAAGGAGGGGATGTTTGGAAGTCGATTCGCTAAGAACGCATTTTAGTTGATGTGCGGGCATTTAAGGGTGATAAAGTAGTTTCGAAAAATAAAAATTAATACTTGAATTAAGTGATAAATACGTGCTATATTTATGCTAAGTGTGAGGTGATGTTAGTGATGTGATATAGTTGAGATCATCGGATTGCTATTCTATGGATGTTAAAAGGTATCGTATTAATTCATTTTTTTTTGTCACAATAAATTAATTTATCTTTTCTTTCCAGCTGAGCTTCGAAGTAAAATCCAAAGGAAACAACATCCATTCGGTGAGTCGTTTTCAATTTTATTAATTTACCAAAACATATCGGGATAATTCGCGATTTGAACGGTGTAATGTTGCCAGATAAAAACCGTTTGAACGCTACTCATTGGATTTGTGCTTGAAAAACGGTACCATTCAATAAATTTTTGCATTTTGTGCTTGTAAAATTATAAAGCTTTAATTATTAACATTGTCAAGACATGAAATAATTTGAAATTGAGTCTAAACCACCCCAAATAATACTAGTATAATCTACTTCAAGGTTTTTAAGGGGGAGTCTCTTTTTTTATATCAAATAAAACGATTTCTTTGGGAATTTTTGGCTGCCAAATTATGTGGTATTTCAATTTAATCTTTGCATATGTTTTCATGATATTAAATCTTCATTAAATTGGCTTTAAAATATTTTTTATTTCATGATGATAACTCAATTCGTTCTTGAAATACGATTTTTTTTAAATTTATATTTCATTACACAAAAACTAAGGGATGATGCATAATCCAACGTCTTGGCTGCTTCGTTTTAATTATTTGTTGGACACCTGATTCTTTTGCAGGAAGTCTTAAACATTGAAATTCGATTAGTGCGTTTTATTTTAGTAAAATGACGTAAATTTTATTTGAAACGTTTCGAGAAAACGAGTAATTTTTTTATTGAAAGGTTGAGTTTTAAAACCAAAAAACGATTTAAAACCGCTTCGCCCCGTCGTCTTTACATTTTTTGTTTATTCACCTCCAGTATTCCTTCTTCACACAATAAATTAAGGAGGGGATGTTTGGAAGTTGATTCGCTAATAACGCATTTTAGTTGATGTGCGGGCATTTAAGGGTGATAAAGTAGTTTAGAAAAATAAAACTTATTACTTGAATTAAGTGATAAATACGTGCTATATTTATGCTAAGTGTTAGGTGATATTAGTGATGTGATATAGTTGAGATCATCGGATTGCTATTTTATGGATGTTAAAAGGTATCGTATTAATTCATTTTTTTTGTCACAATAAATTAATTTATCTTTTCTTTCCAGCTGAGTTTCGAAGTAAAATCCAAGGGAAACAACATCCATTCGGTGAGTCGTTTTCAATTTTATTAATTTACCAAAACATATCGGGATAATTCGCGATTTGAACGGTGTAATGTTGCCGGATAAAAACCGTTTGAACGCTACTCATTGGATTTGTACTTGAAAAACGGTACCATTCAATCATTTTTTTCATTTTGTGCTTGAAAAATTATAAAGTTTGATTATTAATATTGTCAAAACATGAAATAATTAGAAATTGAGTCTAAACCAATCCAAATAATACTAGTATAATCTACTTCAAGCTTTTTAAGGGGGGAGTCTCTTTTTTTATATCAAATAAAACGATTTCTTTGGGAATTTTTGGCTGCCAAATTATGTGGTATTTCAATTTAATCTTTTGCATATGTTTTCATGATATATAGTTACTTATTTAAAAAGAATTGTTTATAGAAAATAATCTTTCTATTGTCCCTCAACCAAGTTGGTGCGTGGATTGTCTAAGTTGCTGGTTGACACAATATCTATCATTTCAAGATCTGAAACTCAACAATGATGTTGTTTTCTATATACTTGTGATTATCGTTTAAACTAGAACTAAGCAAAAAAAAAACATTATTGGCAAAATGGTGCCTAGTCAAATTAAGATAATCGATTTTGTTCTTGAAATCGATAAGTTTATTGCAAAAAAAAAGATATGTATATATCGTATCAGTTTCTCTGTAGGTCATACGATAGAAAGATGCTATTTGAAAGTGCAGTTCAAATTTCAAGTCAATCGAATGAGTAGTTTTTTAGGAATCGTGTTAACCAGATGTAAAAAGGATGTTGTGAGAAAAATGCACTTACAGTTTCGTGTACTACAATGTTATGCGTGCCTTTTTGTGATTTCAATAGAAGAAACTATGACGAATCGAATGACGTATAGATCTTGATTATCGAGTACATCGTTTACGAGTTATGACTGCTTAAAGAATGTCGTTTTTGTGTTATTTTCGTGTACCTTTGAAAAATTTTTGCGTTTTAGCGGAATTCGAAAGAGATTTCGAATCGGGCATATCCACTTTCGTATTGGCCAAAGATTAAGCTTTCGAATGAGACATTGTTTATCGAAATCGGTTGACTGGTTTTCTTGTTATAATCAAAATACTATACATATAAAATCCTATCTAATTGGGGGCTAGAAGAATGGGGACTGACTTCGCATATTGTTTTAGTGTTGCTTTATTTGGATCATATTCAAGGAGAATAAAAAATAGTTCTTTTTCGCTCGAAAAAACTCGTAAATTATTATTACTAATATGTACAAGAGTTTAAAATGATATAATATAATCACATATCAGAAAGGGATTCCGGTTAACTACCGGAAATTATATAACAAATATTCTTTATTTATTGGCTAATTTGACTAGTTAATTAATGCTTAGATCCGGTTCATATTGCTTTCTCGTTTCCGGTTACGAAACAAAATCTTCACCAAACAATCACTTCCATTCACCTTAAATCATCATAACCACCAGCAAACTTTAATAATCTCGAATATTTCATCTCATTTTTTTAATCATGTGCGTTCAATCACGGTTGATTCCTCCAAGATTTTGTAGTGCATACACCTGGACCTCTCCACCAATCATCCACGTCTTCGTAAACTCTTTGAGTGGTGTGTGGGGCATGGAGCATGGTGCATAATCGACACCAAAAGTATGTATTAACAAATTCCCCAGTTCCTTTCCATTGAAAATATGAATTGTATAAATCGTCGTCTTTATCCAATCGGTGAAGATAAGCTGCTAATTCTTTAGGATTTGCGAACTCATCAACGTGTATGTAAGATCCTTGCGGGGCGCTTCTCTCGTAATCCTCCGGCTTTGCACCCATGACAATCGGTAAAACATTTCTGCTTAAACCGTTAATGTAAAACTTTTCCGTTATGTAATCGCGACAGTTCGAATTTTCAAAGGCCAAATAAAATTTGTATTCTTTATCTAAAAGTTCGAAACACTTTTTATCTGATCTTGGACATTTCAACGGACCGCAACCGCCGTAAATATCGACTGGAATGTATTTCGCCAGTTCCCTAGCGTATTCTAATCTACCGTTTCTTGCGCCACAATTAGATACGAACCAAGCCACTTTTTTCGTTTTATTTGCTGCGTAATCTATTATTTGAGGCATTTGACGAACGTCTGGATCATAATAAGTCCATCTTTCATATGGAGCAACTATATCACTATCTCTTCGATAAGTGGCAGTCCAATTAATGGCATCCTTTACTTTAACGTATTGGGTATGATAAGGACATTCGAGGTAGTAAAGGATCCATACTTGGTGTGGAGGTCTATCAGCCCAAGTTGATGCAAAATGATCTTTGTAAAGTACGGCGTCGACGTCTTTTGCTTTGCTTTGGTCATCAATTAGTGAACACCTATTTACTGGACATTCATCAAAAGTTCTTGGTCCTGTTTCTTTATTCCATTGCCTAACTCCGTTGTAGACCAAAATAACTTTTTCAGGGGTGTCAATACCTACAAAAAAATGTTATTTTTGAATTTTGATGTAATAATTTTTTACCTTCATAGTCATCGGGAATATACATTAATTGATCAACAATTCTATCACCAGGGCTTTCATTTGGAAACAACGTTGATAATCCAACGGATTTTCTTGGGTAAACATCTCCGTTTTTAAAAAACCATAATTTCCTTTGTGGTATTAAATTAGCTTCGGTAGGAAATGGTTCTTTGATAAGTTTTGGTGGTGGTGTATGCGACGATACCTTTCTATAAACTTGTTGTTGCGCTCCTTTTGTGTTGAACGTCGACTGTTGATGTGCGTCTTTATTCTGTGATGATGGTTGCGATGGCGTTTCAGTAATCGGCGCATTATTATTATTATTGTTATTTGTTGATTGTTGAGCCGACCACATTACTCGTCCGAAACAGAATGTGAAGAACAGCAACAGGCCTCCCCAGAACAGTACGCCAATGAACAACCTACGTACCGATAACCGCGGAGGCATGTTTACAACCCCATTACCTAATTTATCAAAACACAATCATATTGATTAAAAATATATTAAAAAAATGTCGATTTTTATTGTTGTAGTTTTTGATTTATGACATTTGAAATTAAAATTTTTTGCTCTATATATACTAAAATTTACACAATTGAATAAGCTAGCAATTTTAAGGTGATAAGAGTTGAAATATAGTATGGAGTCTGTTATGGAAATTTTTACTTTAAACGGTTCTTTCATGGTAAATATTTGCGTTACGATGAATAATAACTATTCAAATTCTTTAGTGGTTGTGTTATTTGTGTCCTGTTTTTCTAAGTAGGGATATTTAAATTATTTATGGAATTTATTTAAAGAAAAGTGTCGTTTATTAAACATAACTAATTATGCAAAATTAATAATTAAAAAAAAAATTTTGAATTTGCCGCGTTCTTTATTTACCCAATCTGTCAACATATGACAGTTACCTTTTTAATCTGTCAAAATAATGAAACGAAACAACAAAAATTAAAAATAATTTGTTCTAAATTAGTGAATAACTGGAAATGTGCATTTTAAAGGAAGTAATATAACTAAATAGTGCAAAATATGTAAGTAAACATTTAGTCGTAAAACGGTGTTTTGATAGTACGTCGTCGTCGTCTACTTAACGGTTAAAACCTTGTTGACCTATACCTATCTAATTTGCTTCTTATTACCCTATCAAAGGCCTTGGTGTAATCAATGAATGCGATGTGTGTTTCCATATTTAGCTTCCTTCTCTGTTCTATTATTTACTATAATGTGAAGACACAATTTACCTCTTCGAAATCCATTTTGTTCCTCTTCCAAGAATGTTTCAGCGATTACTTGTGTAAAACGGTATTTTGATAGTACTTAAATCCCAAATGAGCTACTAAAATATAGAGGAGACAGTTTAATAACCGAAATAACATCGCTGATACACAAAATTTTAACTGAGCAAAAAATAATGCATGGAAAACAAGCACAATGATTGCCAAACAGCTACAGAGGCATAAACCTATTTAACACCATGCTCAAACTAGTAACCAAGATTATCACAACCCAAATTAATTCCATTACAACACTGCCCGAAGAAGAACAAGGGTTTAGGTCAGGAAGGTCCTGTACAGATGCTGTATTCCTGATGAGATAAGTTGTAGAAAAGTCAATATAATGTAATAAACCCGTATTTTTATGTTTTATTGATTTACAATAAGATCAGATTAAAGGATGTCAGAAATCTGCTATATAATCGCGGAATACCGAAAAATATAGTTAAAACCAGTTAAAACAAGCAACAAAAATATCTATTCGGAAAACTCACTACAAAAAATTCCTGTAAATGCTGGTATTCGATAAGGGGATTCATTGAGTCCACTACTATTTAATCTTGTGATGGATGAAATCATAAAAAAAGTCAAGACGGACAGGGACTACAAAATGGGTGATCAAGAATTTGCAATCCTCTGTTATGCTGATGACGCGGTCCTTTTTATGGAAAACGAGAACGATCTACAGAGAAACCTACAAGCATATCCACTACTGCCCAAAAAACTAAATACAAAACAACATCGAAGAGCCACTTGTACCAGAACATAATAGAGCAGGTCATGACATTCAGGTACTTGAGAGTTGACCTATCAAGTTACGGTAATATTGAAGAGGAAGTATCCCAACAAGTCAGGAAAGCTGTAAAATCGCAGGCTGCTTAAACGACACTTTATGGAGGAACAATAAAATTGAGAATATATAAGACACCATTATGACTAATCATGACCTATACGGCTGAGACAAGACCTGACACGTCTATAACAAAATAATAAATAAATATTATTATTAGTGTCCATATAAATTGGACACATTAACGGAAGAAAGAATGGAATGCACATATAGAAAGAATGGGACAAGATATACTATTGCTAATTTGTGTACAGAATAGAGGCACGAGACGAACGAGGAACAGCCTTTAAGCCTGAGTGGAGGAAGAAGAAGTAAATGAATAAATAAGGAAATAGGAAATATCTTAGAGAATGTGTAGACCAGGTACTGAAGGTGGGTGTTAGGGTTGGCTAGGGAGACTCCGTGATATATAATCAGAGAAAAAATGAAGGTACATAAGGTGAGGGTGGAAACAACTGGAGAGCAGGGACAGGGATGTGGAAATGCAAGAGAGAGGAACGGAGATAAGGTAAAGTACCAAAGTACCTGATGACGTAGGGGGACGAGGAGGGGAAGCAATTGGTAGCCAGGTTTAGATGTGGTAATGAAGAAGGGCCAATAGATATTGGATAGAGGATGAGCAAAGGGGGTGCAGACTATGTGGGGAAGGCTACCTTATCTGTCAACATATGACAGTTACCTTTTTAATCTGTCAAAATAATGAAACGAAACAACAAAAACTCCTAAAATACCATCTCTTCCATATTGGACAAGCTGAGGATCAAACTTGTCGACTTTGCAATGAAGAGTCAGAAACGGCTGAACATATACTGTGTAATTGCGTTGCTAGAGGCCTCTCTGACACAAAATTTTCGGTAAAGCTGTTTTGACACCTAACAACATAAGGCTTGAAGACCTTGGAGCAATACTAAGGTTCATTAAGAATCCACACTTGCCCTAAACTTTTGGGGGGTTAAAGTTACAATAGATCTTATAGGTCGCGAAGGTGAGAGGGCCGCTCTCCTCAGCCCGGCAGCAACAATAATAATAATATTAACGTCACTTTATGGAGAAACAAACATTTACATATTAATACAAAATTGGGAATATATAAGAGCACCATAAGACCGATCACGACCTATACGGCTGAGACTAGACCTGACATGTCTAAAACAAAACGGATATTGGAAATAGCAGAAATGAAGATACTTTGCAGAATAATAAGCGAACACATAACAACATTATGAGAAGTGGAAAGATTGGAACAAGGTGAAAAGAGCCAGGGATAAATCGCCGCTAGATAAACAAAGTCTAGGACGACCAACGAAACGATGGAGCAACAATTTGCACACAGAATTCATGCGTTGACGAAGAACAGGCAGAAAGAAGAAGAAGAAATAAATCAATAAATAAGGAAATAGGAAATATCTTAGAGGATCTGCACACCAGGTACTGGAGATGGGTGTTGGGGTTGACTAGGGAGCCTCTGTTATAATAATCAGAGAAGAAATGATGGTACATAAGGTGAGGGTTGAGGTGGGTAACCGAGCGGTGAGTTTTGAGGAGAGGGTAGATTGAAGGGTGTATTGTAAAATATGGGGTACTACTGCAGAGAGATTGAGGCAGTGCTGCAGAGAGATAGAAGCAGGAAAAGGTCGTTATGGACAGCGAGAAAGGAAGGAATACTATAAAAGGTATTCAACGGGAAGGGGAAGAGGTTGGGCCAGATTTAGATGTAATAGAGGTTGTAATGAAGAAAGGGCCAATAGATATTGGATTAATTGGATATTGGAGATAAGGCTTTTTACCATCTGCTGGTGGAGTGCAGTGAGTTGAGGGAAAAGGGCATGGATTGGAGGCAGATGATGACAGTGAGGAGACGTGGGGTGACAGGGAGAGGCTGATTAAAGGGACGAGAATTATATAAGTTATAAGTATTGTACTTAGTATACATTGTAACCAATTGGGAAACAATAAATTATTATTCAAAATAATTAATAATTAAAAAAAAATTTTTTTGAATTTCCCGCGTTTTTTATATACCCAAACTGTCACCATCTGTCAAAATTTGACAGTTACTTTTTGAATTTGTCAAAATTATGAAACGAAACAAAAATTAAAAATAATTTGTTCTAAATTATTAAATAACATCAAAATAGTACGTAAATGAATAAATAAGAAAATGGTTTTACTTTAGTAAACATTAACGAGTGATAAAACTGATAAATATTATTTTTTTATAAATTTATTATTGAATATACTATTTTTTTGCGGCAACGAGATCGAAAAATTTAAAACCACTATTCAAACAGATAGGAAGATTATTTTTAGTACAAACGTAAACTATAAGATGCTGCGGAACAGATTTTTCCAAAATATTTACATGTTGTCGTAACGATTTTCGTAGTAGAATTAGCGAAACATTTTCTGTGAAATCCGAACCGGTGGTTTTAAAATAATTTCTTGTCCAACTTCATACACAAATTAACACTGTAAAAGGACCACTGAAAACACTGAATTAGATTTTTTCCGCTTTAATTTTAATCAATCATGTTATTTCATACTTTTATCAGGCTCAACCATGGTTAATCTAAGATAACTGAGCAAATATCGCACATAAAAGTGAACCGTAAAAAAATAAATAAAAATAAATAAATTTCGTTTTATTTTTTGATTTTTTGAAATAGGGGAATTGAAATTTCGGAAACATGTCTTGTAGGTGTTATAATTGTTTTATTTTTGGATTAAAATGATACTTACCGGTAAATGTGTGCGAACCGAGACATGGTAATCAAGGGTTGACTTTACTCTATCACTTTCCTCGAGCGATGTCTAACCACCTTCTGAAACGGAAAATCTATAACGGGAGCGGGCGCAGGCGCCAAACGTGTCACAACGCGATACCGACAGACACATCGGCGACGAAGTTCCATATTTTCCCCCCATAGAAAATCCCCATGTACTAAAGTTACTCCATTTTAGTAACAGTTCATCTAACTCAACTAGATAAATCGATAAATAACCCGGAAAATATATTCAGAATCAAATTTTCTTTCGAATTTTAAAATTCGTTCCATACAAAACTGTAATTTATTATTATTACCAAGAAGAACTTTTCCTTTTTCTATTTACAACAGAAAATTTACTTACACCCTATAGATTTTCTTGTCGAAGCGCATGCGTTTCTTCTTTCAGGTAAAATTTCAATTTTGAGTATAAAATATAAAAATGGGTTGCGTAATTTAAAAAAAAAATGATAATGTTGAATATTTGCGTTATATTTTTATTAAGATATCAAATAATCCGTGTTATCGTTTTATTAGTTTGACCTAAATACTTTAAATAGAGAAGATTTTTATATTCAGTATTCTTTTTCTTTGCTCTATCATAAATAAAATTATTGTTTGAAGAGTGTTCGAATTTAGAATTGTTTTAATTTTTTAACGGTTATTTGGATTTGTGAAAGCTTGAGATTTACAAACTGGCATATCTAAAAGTCCGTTACGGGATTATCTATCTTCTTAATATTTAGGTACCGCATTAGTAACTCGCATGCGTAGAGCCAACATGAGGCCTGTTTGTTGTTAACGCGTGTATTATATACTGGGTGACCTGATAAGAGTACGACTGTATCTCGACAATGGTAAGGAGTAGAGATTTGGGAAAAAAATTCTTATCGGCAAAGTGGGCAATTAAATAGTAATCCGACCGCAAGGGGCGTAACTGCCATAAAGAAACAGATAATTTACATACCAGATAAATTTAAAATTTTTATAACATTTAGACTTTTGAAGTTCATGTGATGTAAAATTGATTTTAGTACAAATTTCTTTGAATCCCAGTTATATTTATGTATTTGTGATTAACTTTCAGTATTCTAGTTCAGCCGTCATGAGCTATGAGTAAGTCTTCAAATTGTTGTAATATGGAATGTCTAGACCAAGATACCAAATTTATATTTCTACGACCTCTTCCTATCAAGTAGACTAAAGAAATAGTTTATCAATTACTTGACATATTTGCTATGTTGGGATTACCTAGTGTATTACTAGAAGTTATATCACTAGTTTACAGAGTGAACAGCTTTCAATAACCGATATCTCAGCTTTATCGAAATCCTGAAACTTCTACTTTTACGTCCGCCTTCTAACATAACTGTTTGAATGAATAATTTTAATGCATACAAGTTCGAACAGTTGCATACACCGCCCAAACGTCTGACGCATTTTCTCGATATTGCCGCATCTAAGAGCAAAAGTGCAAGAGAGCAATATTGTTAGGAATAAAATTTGCTACAATTTTTATTCTAAAAGTTTTTTTGTAATATGCTCCGAATCCCAGGTATTGCCATTAACAATTTGTGAAAGCAACAAATTCACCAAATTTTCATATTTTTCTATTTTTCTCAATATTGACGCATCTAAGGACAAAAGTAAAAGAGAGCAATATTGTTAAGAGTAAAACTTCCTATAACTTTTCCATAAAAAGTTTTTTTATAGCATNTTCTTCACACAATAAATTAAGGAGGGGATGTTTGGAAGTCGATTCGCTAAGAACGCATTTTAGTTGATGTGCGGGCATTTAAGGGTGATAAAGTAGTTTCGAAAAATAAAAATTAATACTTGAATTAAGTGATAAATACGTGCTATATTTATGCTAAATGTGAGGTGATGTGATATAGTTGAGATCATCGGATTGCTATTCTATGGATGTTAAAAGGTATCGTATTAATTAATTTTTTTTTTGTCACAATAAATTAATTTATCTTTTCTTTCCAGCTGAGCTTCGAAGTAAAATCCAAGGGAAACAACATCCATTCGGTGAGTCGTTTTCAATTTTATTAATTTACCAAAACATATCGGGATAATTCGCGATTTGAACGGTGTAACGTTGCCAGATGAAAACCGTTTGAACGCTACTCATTGGATTTGTACTTGAAAAACGGTACCATTCTATCATTTTTTTCATTTTGTGCTTGAAAAATTATAAAGTTTTAATTATTAATATTGTCAAAACATGAAATAATTTGAAATTGAGTCTAAACCACTCCAAATAATACTAGTATAATCTACTTCAAGCTTTTTAAGGGGGGAGTCTCTTTTTTATATCAAATAAAACGATTTCTTTGGGAATTTTTGGCTGCCAAATTATGTGGTATTTCAATTTAATCTTTGCATATGTTTTCATGATATTAAATCTTCATTTTGGCTTTAAAATATTTTTTATTTCATGATGATAACTCAATTCGTTCTTGAAATACGATTTTTTTTAAATTTATATTTCATTACACAAAAACTAAGGGATGATGCATAATCCAACGTCTTGGCTGCTTCGTTTTAATTATTTGTTGGACACCTGATTCTTTTGCAGGAAGTGTTAAACATTGAAATTCGATTAGTGCGTTTTATTTTAGTAAAATGACGT